CCCAAGTCGGGTTGCAAGGGGTGCTGGTGTTTATCTCCAGCTGTCCACCCCTGACAGGTCTCCAGTCCATCGCAGAAACAAATAGGACAAACAACCATTCACTCACACCTAAGGAGAATTAAGATAAGCCAATAAACCTAACAGTCATGTTTTTGGACTGTGGGAAGAAGTCAGATTTGACCAAAAATATATACCAGAAATGCCTGTTTTCAGTTTGGGTCCACGCCAGGGTACATTTCACCTAGTTTAGTCCAGCACAGGTGCAAGTAATTAAATATTTAATATGGGATTAGTCTGTGTCTAACAGAAATGGATGAAGTGTATATTGTATTGATAATTTTTTGCCAGCTATCATTGGTTAGTGCTTAACCTAAATCCACTGCCTTTTAAGCGGGAGAAATGTTAAGTATTTAATATCTTGAATGGTGGAGTAGAGTTGGGTTGCAGGGGGTTGCAGAGCAGAGAAGATGGTTCTCACAGCTGTTTCATGAGCAAAGCTTCATCCTCTCCTCCAGTGATCATGTTAAGATGAAACATGGACATTGGTCCTCAATGTCCAAAACTTTATCATGGTTTATGTTCCAACAGTGTTGTATTGTTACATGGCTTCATCTGTACGCACATTATATATTCTAATGGCTAAACCACACAAACTCACGGACGATACACACATGCAAAAAAACTTTCAAATACAAAAATGTATGGTACAGATCTTTTGCAAAATAGATAACTTTCTCCCTCGGTTTTATAAAACATTACCATGCCGGAAGGGCAGTTATGCTTTATTCTCTTTTCCTTTTAGTATTACCATATTTTATTTAATTACCAGTATTACCTGCGTCTCCATGGCTCTGTACCTCATCTGTATCTCATGGCCACTCTCAGTCTGCCTGTAGGACATGCAATCTGCTCATTTGAATGAACCAAATGGTTTGAAAGTCTCCACGTTTTGTGCAGCAATCCTTGTAGATCACCTGCAACCCGTGCAGTCAAATCACTGTATGTACAATTTAGTGCTTCTAATTTAAACTGAGCTCCATAATCATTACAACAAATGCAGTTGTTTTTAAAGGCTTTTGTCTTGCTTTTCATTATCAACGGAGCATTTTCACCGTTACAGGCAGCTATTGGTGACGGATAGGAGGCGGCAGAATGAGGAGAATCCCAAACAGAGGATGGTGGCTCTGATAGATTCAGTTCTGAATAAAAGCTGAGAACTGGAACGGCTTCTACAGCAGCAGCTGGGATGTAACTAAGAGCTGCTTTTTGTTCACAAAGAATAACATTTCCATTTCAAAGAGAGTTGATGTGTCATTTACAGTTATCTGTTTCCATCTAGTTAACGTTTCCAATGGCTTCCTCAGGTAATTAGGTTTTGTTCAAATGTAAGGCCAAATGACACAGAGCCATGAGAGAAGGCATGAGATCAGATAAGGACTGTTAAATTAGAAGGCTAAAGCTTTTTGGAGTAAAATGATTTAATGTCCAGATCCTCAGTCAGTGATTTAGCCATGAATCCATGCAGATCCCAAACTTACAGCAGTTCACTTTATTATCAATGATATGCGATGGTTTTATTCCTGCTGAGCGTTAACTTGCCTTCCATCAGTATTCCCGTCTCTTTTTGTAGTTTTCTAGAATCTAAAGCAGTGAACGAACCTCCTGACATGAAATATTTTCCTATTTCACCCACTTCACACCTTAGTCCTAAACCGAGGACGGCCCAAAAACGGCCGTCTGCTTAAATCCCAAAGAAAATCTATAGCATCCGTCTTTATTGTGACTCGGACGGAAAGTTTTTCTCGTAGGCTTTTATCTTGGTGTCTTACCTCATTCACAAAGACCCAGTGGCTGTCCTTGGAGGCCAAGTTTGTTTCCACAGCCTGCAGACACACAGAGAGAAGGAGGAAAGTTAGGATCATCAGGGTCATTTGGGTTAAGAGCCGCTGTCTGCTGAACCACTGCTGTTTCCATCACAGGTCGTCCTGCCAAACATCAAACCAGAAAAGTTTTCCCTGCAGCGCTGGACCAGTTCTGGAAACGCTCCTCTAAGTTCTGTGAGCTCCTTTGGTTGCTGAAAGTCCCATGGTGTTTGTTAGTGATGAAGAGCGGCGCAGCGGCGGGATCACTTAGCCGACCACAGTGAATTAGCAGGTTGTGGCTCTGAGCCCATCTGAGTGGAAAAGATGAAGGAACGGATCAAAAAGTGACGCATCAACCGCCCACAGCCCGGAACTCTGTCCTTGGTCCTGAAATTCGTCCTTTCAATTAGCACTGACTCCATCAGAGAAGGAACATAAGTTTTATGAGAATTAATATTAATATCAGCTTCAGGTGCCAGATTAGACTTATTTTACCTTTCTAGTAAAACCTTTGGAGATATTTATAGATATACATGTTTCCATTTTTGAAAGATACAACCATGACAGGAATAATCCTCAGAAGCAAAAATTCTCTGCTTATGATTTTTAATATTCTAATATTCTTCTAGAAAACCTTGCTTTGAAAAGTAGATGAACAGTTTGAACACATGATGCAAGCAGGAAAACACTGCAGCTTTATTACCTCTGCAGGCCTGAGTGCTGCTGTCAAGCTGGGAATAAACATTTAAGAGCAGAAACAACAAAACAAGGCATGCGTGGTGTTGGAATAGCTGTATTTTTCCACCAACTGCGGCTCAGCCTCGCAGGAAGCTGATGAGGTATTGATCGGACTGACTGCTATCCACTGGATGAAAGCGGAGTGGTGGGAGGCAACTGAAGAAAGACAGCGACTGGTTTTTGGATGCAAACATGTTTTCTTCTGTTAGAAGAGAAACACAGAGACTGAGACTCTAGATCTACTGGGAATCATTTTCATCTGAAACCATCAACTAAAGTCCCAGAAGCAGAGTAATGGGGGGTGGGGGGGGGGCTTGTCTTTTCTTTTCTGGATTATTTTATGAAACATAGATTCATAAAGAAGTAATCCTTTATTAATTGTTTCCTTTTTCCTGTTTAAAAACAACAAACAGCAAAACCCTAAGATCATGCAGACCTGCGCTAAGCAGCTGTAAGGGCAGATTAGACTTCTGCCACCGCACACATCAAATGCCGCTTGGGTCTGGTCGCAAACCAGTGTTGCTGGTATGCTTCTGCACAGCAGTTTCCCGCCAAAGCGCAAGAGGGAGCCTATTCGAGAACTCGCAAGAAACTCGGCGGGTGGTCATGAGAACTTTGCCAGCGCCTACGGGAGTGTTTATATTGCAAAACAACAATGGCGTGTCTACAAGATATCATGGTCACCGATCTAGAGTTGCTAGACATCGAAGAGGAACAGGTTCTGTTAGTGGAGTTGGCAAAAAGACAAATGAGGACCCGTAGGTTTTCAATTGTAGTCGTTCCTCTTTTTCTAAAATTGCCGCGCGCCGGCACCGAATTGAGACGAATGACCACACAGACAGCCGGAAAGGCATACCAAGGACCAATCAAAGCTGCTTTATGTCTGTGCACTTCCGCTTGAGGTCCGTGCAGGTTTGCAACCATCCGACGCGTAGTCAGGATGTTTTTGAGGTGTGCGACATCGGTAGCAGAACCTCTGCATGGGATCCTGCTCTGACCCTGCTCCCCCCTTGAGGGATCTACTTGTCGTCCCACGTGCTGAACATCTGAGGCTCCAAGTATGGCTAGGGCCCACCTCCTCCCCCTTCTTATGCTCCCAACAGTGACAGGTGCTTGTGTCTCTTGGCCTCCTGATGGTGTGGGCGCTGTCATTCCTGGTGGCTGCCGGGCCTGAGCCTCCTGGTCCTGTGGGGGTCTCCCACCTGTGGGGCACCTGTGGTGCGAGGTGCTGAGGCCCCGTGGGATCCCGATACTATGGCCCCTCAGGGACTGGGCCCCTTTTGGGCTTTGGCTCCTAGGGGTCTGGCTCTGGGTGCTCTGTCCCCCCTTCTCTGGTGGGTGTCTGCCCTCCTTGAGTCCCAGTGATCTGGGTGCCTCTGGATGTCCTGAGGCGTTTGTTTGGTAGTTTGACACCAGAAACGAAGCGAGCTACGATGACATACGTAAAGCGGTGCATTATCGCTTTTTTAAAGTTATAGGGGAATATATTTATATATATCGGGAAATATCAGTTATCGGTCATGAAAAGCGATGCCAATAACGATATCGGCCCAAATTTACAGATCCCTGCATCCCTACTCATTTCATTTTTGGGGAAAATAGTCATTTTTTTTACGTCCTAAATAGTATTTAGTTTAGATTAATATAATACAGCCAGTGAAGTACAGCTTATTTACATCTATGTTTTACAGCTTGCATTGAGAAGGCTACAGAGCAGATCACTGAACTAGAAACTATTTCTTGTTTTTAACAAGCTGTTAAAAAAAGAGAAAAAAGGTTGGAAAAAATGGTCCAACTCTTAAATAGAAATCCGAAATAATGTTATTGATGCCATAAACACTCAGATTCCAGTCATTTAAAGCAAGTCCACAGCTCTTCCTGTTCTCCAGCTGCTTCCTCATTCAGCTTTTATCTTCTGTTTGTTTCTGATTCTGTAGGAAGCGTTTGGCGTTCCTGTATTATTATTATTATTATTATTATTATTATTATTATTATTATTATTATTATTTTGTGTTACAACAAGCAGTTCTTCTTCTTACGCTGTACTCTGTGCTTCCATAGCCTCTCCGGTATGTTGCTGCTCAGCTACCTGAGCAGAGCTTGGTGGGCGTGGCCTCCAGGTGAAGCTGAACCTCTATTGTTTTCCTGCAGTCATCAGGAGGTCTTTGCTTTGCTAAATCCATCTGGGATGCCGTGAGACTCTGGCAGAACCAGGTCTAGAACTTTAGCTGAAGTGCAGAACTGAACATCCTGAAGGCAATAGATTCACAGAGTGTAGATATTCATCCAACGATGCGGTGCAGGATGAGAACTGTGAGTAGTTTAGCGTTGGGTTATGGAAATTAGCTAAAAGTCTTCAGGAAGTTCAGGAAGTCTGTCTTCCTTCATAGTGTGGAAGCGTTTCCATTTAACAGGTTTCTGAAATCAAGATTGCATTAAACCATCATCAGAATTACGGATAACATGAATGATTACATCCTTTATTTCTGCTGAATAATGCTGAAGTTTTCTCTGCTGCTTTTAAGGATTTTATATTTTTTTATGTCACCTAAACAGCTTAAATATACGGCTGTCATATTTTTTTATTCTCCTCTCTGGATCAGACTGTTCCTCCAACGTTTCAGGCTGAAAAGACATTTCTTCTGTTTTTCGCATCGTTTTACATATTTTTTAAGGAAACAGTTTCTGTGGCGGCGATTCTCCTTCCTCTGATCTCTTATTATCAATATAGTGGAAGTGAGTGAAGTCATAGATTCGTATAAAGAGGCAAACCCAGACTTTCCTCTGTGATTTCCTGTTCTTTCTTATTCCTGTTGATCTCTGAGTTTCTGCTCCTGGAGGAAGAGGTTAGTTAGAGGAGGAATAAAAAGGATTTAAATCCTCTTTAAGATGGAAATGAATGTTTCTATTCGTAGTTCAGGGGACGACGTGTTTGTTTTGAAAATGACTCATCGTGGCTGAAAAGCAGGACGGCAGACATGTTTTGGAGAAAAGCTTTTTTTCTGTGAGAAGCAGCAGATCTCAGGGGGTTCTGGTGGGGGGGTGGAGTCAGGCAGTTTCCTCTCTGCTGCTTCTGTGGGTTCATTAGTGCAGACAACAAGCATTAACAGGCTGTGAGCTTTTAACACCATGCTAATGGAAGAGACAGGAGGAGACCCAGGAGGATGCAGCGGGCAGGAATCTGCCTCCATGAGGCCAGAAAACAAACCTGAGTGAAGTTAGTTGATCAGAAATAAAGAACCAGAATCCAGAAGGAATGTTTCCAGTAAAGCTTTGCAGTTTAAAACACATTATGTGGAGAAGGCCATGAGTCAACTTAATTATACCGTCTGAGTTCCCCATGTCAATATCAGACGCAGGACTTCCCCCTGCAACAGCAGGGTTGCCGGTTTGAACTCCAGTTCCAGCGTTTTTGGGCAAGGCACCCTGACTCCACCCTGGTGGTCAGAGGAACCAGCAGCAGCAGCTGTGGATGACAGCTTCACTCCCAAAGGGCAGCTGTGGCCTTAAGAAGGACTCATTGTTCTGGATTACTCGACTTTTTAACTCATGTTCAACTTTTAGCATCATATTAGAAGATTATTAGATTATAGGATAGATTATAGGATAGATTATAGGACAGATTATAGGATAG